TTCACAACAGTTTTGGGGCACTACCAAATGGACCCTTAGTAATACACAAACTTTAAATCAATATAGAAACACTAAAAAATATGAACAATTCACTTTGCAGTAATAACAGGACAAGCACAAAGCTGATAAAAAGTAGTGAGAATTTCATCAAACTTAGTTAATCAGATCATTGAAAAATTAAAGAAAAATGCAAGGAACAAAACTTCATCAGGACTGTCTCCCATCATCTTAATCTTTTTAAGGTCTATATGAAGAATCTTTTTTTTCTCAATGGAATTCCTGACGTTTTCAAACATCATCTCTGGTGCACGGAAGCAATCTAGGCCTCTAAATTTACATTGTTACACATTCTAATTGTCCTTTTGCCTTGAACTAATTAGAGACCATTGATGGAAAGAAACGTTCTAGTCAGTGACATTGGTCTTGGATGAATCTCCACGACCAAGACAAAAATGATGATGTTATGTATAATTTAAATAAATGTACTGGAAGCACTAAAAGAGATAAACTCCTCAGGAAACTATGCATCATAGAGAAATCCTCTCTTGAGGGACCTAGAAACTCCAGGAAAAATAGGAAAATATATGAAAACTCCCTGAAATTTGTTATTGAAATATCATAATCTTAGTGCCCCTCATAGGCTACAGAATGACTTATATATAAGCCTACTATATGCACTCATTAAGGAATGTACATTCATAATGAACCAGAATTTATTAATGAGTGTAGATTATGTATGCTCATAATGCATCAACAGTAGATATAAGTTCAATCGTGAACCTACTGTACAACACCATTACACAATCCAAGAATTCTCAGTTAACAAATTTTGAAAGAGAAATTGTTAATTCTTAGGGTTCAAAGGAATATTAGACTTTGAATTGTTTGTAAATTAGAAAAGAAAAGAAAAAACCCACACACAAAAATCTGTGGGTTTCAATCATAAACCGAATAGAGTTCTATTTATTTGTAAACCCATGCAAAGGTCACATGCCTTTTTACTACACATTGTAGCGTTTGAGTAGCGTTCAAACGCCTTCTACAGCGGCTTAAACACAGATTTTTTTTATTTGTTATTTTGATAAAAGGTTTGGTATGGCTATATAGTTGAATAGGGACTTTTAAGATTTATTATTGCTTAAAAGGTTTAACAGGATGTTCAAGATTTGGAACCCTAAATCTTGACTAAACGCTAAACTCTAAGCCCCAAACTATATCCAATAATGAACTAAAAAACAAATTAATTGAGTGACACAAATTTAAATCTTACTAGTTACATTTTATTCTAGTATGGTATAGCAATCTTCTTGTTTTTCCCTTTTTTATAGAAGATGGAATCACAAACGATAGAAATAATACTTCATTGAAGATAAAGGGAAAAATAAAATCAAAATTTGAGATAAGGCTAAAAAACTCACACTTTAAGTCTCATACCCAAATCTTGTAGATAAGTACAGTATGACTTGCGTAAATATGTCTCTTTCTTTAAGTCAATGCCATCTCGTCTAGATGGAGAATTTTCTTCAATCTCCTTTCTATAAAAGTACCAACAAGCTCCTTCCTCTGGCCGGTCCTGCCCATCTTTATAAGAACCAACATCACTCATTTCACTATGAGAGGATTCAGCAGGCAAAAAACCAGCCATATGTATCTGAGCTCTCCAATTTAAAACAATTCAAATATAACAACTTGAGTGGTTGATAACAATAAAGACTATATCACCAAAGTCCACGAGCTTCCTGTTCATGGATCGCCAAGATGGGTCAGAAACAGTAGGCCATAGACTATGATGTAGCAAGGTAAAATAATATAAGAAATGAGTTGTAAACACAAAGTGAAAAACTAAAATCCATAAACGAAAGCATAGCATGCAATCATGATCATGATAGATTACAGAACTGTAAACTTCAGCAATGATTCAATTACTAGCATTAAGGCTATAGAAGAGGACAAGGTAAGCAAACACAATTGTTTTTTTACACACTCTACCTCATCTTCCACTAAATCAAACTTTCTTTCTTGTTTCCTTTTCCCAACTTTTAACTTTTTATTTCCATAGTGGAATTTACATCTTCATCTTCAAATTGAAATTTCTATTTCTCTAATACTCTTGCATAACGGTGCAAAAAGTCAAATTTGTGTCTTCCCAGTAAAGCTACTTATGATTCAGGTACAAAAAACATGATGACCAAGAGAATGTCCAAATCTAATAATCCTTTAATTGACTTACTTGATGAGGTCCAAATTGTGAAACTCATCTAACTTTATGTAATAAAGTTTTAAGATGAAAATGTCAGAGTTCTTCCAATCACTCTCAAGTCCTCCCATCGCTATCATATATCTATACACTACAGTGGAAAACAATGTAGGCCTCACCATTAACTATTTTATCATAAGCCATCATTCTCTTGAATTTACCAAAAGCTCAAAATCTATGACATGACAAGAACCACTTTCATTCATCATTGAACTATAAAAACTGTATCATATTTTTATCTTGGAAATATAACCAATTTATTACTTGTTCCACTTTCACAAGTTTGAAAGATATAGAATAACGAAATTTTTCATTTAGGAATTCTTAGTATCTAGAAGACTTTCTTAACCACTTCTTAGAGCTACCTCAATCATTCCCAAACTTCATCAATATATGAACAAAGTGAGTGGTCTCCTTGTTACTTCTTTGCTCACGAAATTCACCAATTCAACAACAAATTGGAAATTTTTCTATTATGATTATAATTAAACCACACACACACATATAATACCAGCAAAAGAAAACCAAACACACACTCACGCGTATATGTGTATACTAGTCAACATTTAATCCTTAAAGCCAACCCCGCTCCTTTTTTAAGCCTATTCTTCGAAAATTCAATTAACATAAATAGAGCATCATCTTAAAACCCCAATCTTTCTCAGATAAAAACAAAACAAAAAACCATAACGAAAGGTTCTTCCACACAAACAAAAGACAAAACCCATTTTTAAGTTTGTGTACGTAGGATTGCGAATGAGCAACTTACGTAAAATTATCTTAAACGGGTTCGAATTTCGAATGAGTAAAATATAATGAAATGGAGAAGCTAAGAGCTCGAAACCAAAGTTAAGAGAAGTTATTGTTACCTTGGATTGACGAAGACAGCAGAACTAAGGCAAAAACCTACCCAATCTTCCCAATTTGGATTTTAGGGTTTATGCTGTGCAGACTCTGGAGAGGGAGAGCGCGAGAGAAAATAATCGCTGTGTTTTTAAGACTTTTACTCTTTTTCTTTTTTCTTTTTTCCTTTTTCTTTTTTTCCGCTTTTTCTGATTGGTTTTACATGGTTGCCACGTAGGCACGTACGGATGTGTGGGATCTCATGGGTTTTCCTTTTTTTTTTTAAAGGACCATTCCTTTTTTGAATTTAAATTAACGATTAATCGATCTAGTTTTGTGAATTCTCTAAAAGACATGGTTCTTAATTATTTCTTTTTTCCTGAAATGCTATTCTTCATAAATAAGTAAAATAATTACTTGTTAAACGGTTAGACTATTTTTTAGTAATATTTACGCTAATAATAAGATTTAAAAAACAAAAACCTAACTAGGGATAAAAAAAATTCATTGGATAGACCTACCTCATTCTAAGCTTTTCCCCTCATACAGGTGTTTCTTTACAAGGAGATTGTAGCTCAAATAGTTAAGAGCAGTTATCTATGCACTCAAAATTCTGTATTTGAATTCCTCTATATATACAAAAAAGTATCAATAATATATAATGCTAATTATGGTCTAGTTACCTCAAGGTCCGTGTTCAAATTTCTCTACATGTAGTTTGTGAAACCAACTCAATTGCATATCAATTAAATTAGACAAGTATCTTGATTGTTGTTTGATGAACTTATAAATGTTGTGAACTAGACTTATTAAGTTGGATGAGTGGAACTCATAAAGGCTAGCTTAGACTCAATTTCAATCCATTTTCAAACTGAGCTATCAAATGAGGTCAAAAATCACAATTCACGAAGGCCTCAGTTACTCAAACCCTCCCACCCCTAACCTTGATTCACCTTTTTTATCCCAATCAAAGTAAGTAAATTTTGTTCTTTTAAGATGAGTCGAGTGCTAGGAAATTGTGAGTTCAAAACACGAACCTTCTACTAAAAATATCATTCTAGATTTGCAATATATATATATATACATATATCACCACCATTCACCTAATTATTGACCTTTTGGAAATTTGGAGCATTACAAAATTCATTACATTTCACCCCAATTCGAACCGTAATGTTTGTTTGGTATGCGGTTTGAGACATAATCAAAATCGTGATATTACATCAATTTGGCATGTGATTTTATATATTTTTGACAACATTGTATCAAATAAATATAATTTGACGGTGGATAGAAGGATCTATTTCTATATTTGTTCCATTTATTTTAGATAATTTTCTTGGATTTTATGTTATACAATATTAATAGATTTTGAATTGTTTGCATTAAATAAATTCTATGACGGATAAGACGATCTAAATGTATTAATAAATTCTAATGACGGAAAAAGAAAAGGGAGTTTCACTTAAACACCCAAAATGGGAGCTGAAATTATAAAAACACCCAACACCCAAAACACTTTATAAATACACCCAAAACTAATCATTACACACACTCAAAACTCATTTATAAACACACCCAAAAAATATACAATTATTGATTTTGGGTGTGTTTCTATGTTTAAATAGTGCTTGGGTTTTTTTATAAATACATGTCTAGAATTGGGTTTATTTATAAATTTGTAAAAAGAAAAAGGGTATCATGCGATTTGATGATTTGGATGCGAAGCTTCTAATTAAATCAGCTAATTACGATTTAATTTAATTCCAGTCTAAAATTAATATTTTTAATATAATCACCGAATCAAAGCTCTCAATTTGTTGTGTTGGGTTGATTTACACGTCGGCAATCACGTGTGACCCCACCCATATTTTTTTTAAAGTTTTGCAAAAAAAAGTATAATATTTTTGAATTTAAACAAAAAAGGAAATCAAAATCAAAATCAAAATCGCTATCTCATACTCTCAGGCTCTGTAAATCACAATTCACAATCACTCAAACCCCAAACTTTCTCTCTCTGATTCAATTTTTTGGGGGGTAAAATTCATAAGCGAACGCTGAACAATTTTGTGAAATTTTGGACGGTTGAGATTGGCGGGCAGAGGAGGATAGCATGGCGTCGGCGCCGGTGAACAAGATCGAGCGGGCCCACCTGATGTACCGGGAAGGGAGGTACTCGGAGGCCCTAGGGTTTTACACGGAAGCCCTATCCATGGCCAAGACGAAGCCCCAGAAGATTGCTTTGCACAGCAACAGAGCTGCTTGCTTCTTGAAGCTTCACGATTTCAAAAAGGTTCGCGCTTTTTTTATTTTCTTCTATCGTTTTCTCTTTTCGTTTCTGTATAGGAAGTTCTCTATTTCTGAAATCTTGATCTCAAAGGAGTTGCTTAGAGCTAGTAATTTTTGTTTTCGAATGCTCAGTTCGGTGAGAGAGAGGAAATCGCGAGTTCAAGACATGATTTTTCTGCTGAAATTAGTGTTCTGGAATCTGATATGGACTTGAAGGATGAAAATATGGCTTAATTGGTTTATTAATTGACTATATTTTGACTATATTAGGCTGCAGACGAATGCACCTCAGTGCTTGAGCTTGATTTCAATCACACTGGAGCTTTGATGTTGCGGGCGCAGACCCTAGTGACCCTCAAGGAATATCACTCAGCTCTCTTTGATGTTCATCGGCTGATAGAGTTAAATCCATCATCAGAAGTGTATCAAAACCTTCAAGCCCGTTTAAAGACACAAGTGGTATAATTCCTTTGTTCTTGCTGCTGAATTTTTCGTTTTAGAGTTTTTTGATACAGGTTTCTCACATTCTTATTTAGTACATTAGTTGAAGATTAGGGGCTGTTTAAGATTTTTTTTTTTTTTTGGTCGAAAGGGGCTGTTTAAGATTGATGCATAAGTTTGGTGGTCAGTTATTTTATTATAGAATGATTTGCATTTGGAACCTAAAACCGGGGAAAGAGATTCTTTGTTCCCACCCTTCCGAAAACCTCTAGGGTTTTGTTTGTTGTTGTTTGAAACACTTTTTTGATTTATAAGCATCATCATCATCATCGTCATGATGTTTGCAATTATGAACACCACTGTTGCAATAAATTTACAATTATGAACATCATCATCATCAGCAGCAGTGCAGCAGGTGGTGAAATCATAAATTTGCAATTGTCAATTTCCTGGCTGTGAGTAAAGAATTATTTTTTCTGCTTGAGGAAAGTCCCTTGCTCCAATACCTGAATCCGACGCAGAGCTAGAAGAAGAGGAAGAAGACGAGAATGAAGTAGAGCTAAATGGATATGGAGAGGAAGAGAAGCAATACGAAGGACAAGAAGATGCAGTATTTTCAGGTGCAGTAAAGGATCAGTTTGCTGAGGTTAATAGGACGACTGCTGTTGCTGATGTTATTCCCCCCAAGACACCAGTAAACAGGGAAGTTCCTGAACAAGGAAAGGATCCAAAAGTTAATTACACAAAGACTACTTCCCCAGCTGAAGTTGCTGCCCCTCGTGCAGAACTCATCAAAGTACCGTCTGAAAAAGAAAAAGGATGGCAAGCAATCCCGAAACCGAAGGGGCACTCTTCTCTGGACTATGCACGGTGGGACACAGTAGAAGATGACTCTAGTGAAGATGATGATGACGACGATGATGATGAAGAGTCTCAACCTCAGTATAGATTCCGTGTAAGAACTGTTGGTGTCCGACCAGTTAAGTGAAGAGGCGGCAGATGAACAAATGTACACAATACACAAGATAGATAGCCATCATTATTGCTAAAACCAGCCACAAAGTCAATATCACAGTGAATTGAGGAGGGGAAAGTTCTTGTAGTTTCATATTCAGAAATTTTGAAACCTATGAGAAAATTGTCTTCAACAAGCAGGTGAGCTTGGAAACATATCATTTGTAAGAAACAGGATTCTGCATTTTAGTTCTCTGGCTGAAGTTGGATTTATTGACTTTGTGCAGTTCCTGTTATGCTGTGATTTTCAAACAATTCATGCTGTGACACAAAAATAAGTGGAGGCTCAGTCCGCAAACAGTTGAAATCAAACTTGTCCTGGCTTATTAGTGCTTGCAGGGTCAGGTAAATTATTGGTTCCTTTGATGGCGTTTGTAAATTTTTATTGTAATGCTTGTAAGAAAATAATGAAAACTAAAAAGTTTTCAAGATTGCTACCAAATTCAAGCAACTTGTCGACCAGAAAGATGATACAAACTTGTATTTATTTATTTTTTTATTGTATTTTCTGGTGTCATGTCATGTGGAGTACGTAAATCGGTAATCGATGGCCTGATTTCTGTTTTTTTTGTAAAGTTCGGAAACGAATAAGAGAATTTGCCTAAAATTTGTGAGGCATCCAACTTGTTGGAAGTGTTTTGGGCCGCCACCCAATATGTCAATCCAAATAACAAGCAAACTCAATGGAAAAAACTAGGGAGTTTCACTAAAACACCCAAAATGGGAGCTGAAATTATAAAAAAACCCAACACCCAAAACACTTTATAAACACACCCAAAACTCATCATTACACACACTCAAAACCCATTTATAAACACACCCAAAAAATATACAATTGTTGACTTTGTGGTTGATTTTGGGTGTGTTTCTATGTTTAAATAGTGTTTGGATTTTTTTATAAATACATGTCTAGGATTGGGTTTATTTATAAATTTGTAAAAAAACTAAAGTAACATTTAAGCACTTTTTTATTTCTAGTAAACGGTTCTAGAACCTAGATATAATAACATACTAAGATATACCTAGAAGAAAAAATATATATAAAAAGAAAATAGAGTCCCCATGCCAACTTTTGCCATTTGGGCTACAAAAATACATCGACATCAAATAGAATAACTTAAGAAGCAACAGCTACAACAATATATTATATGATGCAATTTTCTTCCTCCTAATTTGAATTAGTTGCATCAAGTACTGGCAAAGCTTGGCACAAGATCTCAGCTGCAACATCAAGCTCCTGCTCTGTTATGATCAATGGAGGCACGAGCCTCACAACGTTGCCTTTTCCAGCAGTCAATACTAGCAAGCCAGAATTTCTACATGCATCCACAAGAGGTGAAGCAGAGACATCCAATTCAATTCCAATAATAAGCCCGAAGCCACGTACTTCTCTAACATGTGGGTTCCCTCCCAGTTTCTGCTTCAAGATATTTTTGAAGTAGAGACCTTTCTTGGAGACGCCGTTCAAAAAATTGGGATTTGATATTTTGTTGAGAACGGCTAGGGCAGCGCTACAGACCAGAGGTGCACCAGCAAAAGTACTTCCATGGTCACCGAAAGCTATGGTGGAAGCAACTCTTTCGGTCACCAATGCTGCTCCAATGGGTAGGCCTCCAGCAAGTGGCTTAGCAAGTGTCATTATATCTGGGAATACACCATATGCCTCATGAGCCCAAAGATACCCAGTTCGGCCTAAACCACATTGAACCTACAGGAAAAAAGTGAAAGAAGCACAAACATAATTAATTGAGAGAAATTGAAATCATAGACAAAATACATGTAATCCGCTCTATAAACTTGAACCCTTGAACTTGCACCAAAAAGAGACTAGTGGTATAATGTATAACTTTCAAATAGAATATGACGATGATTATGATAACAAGTAAAAAACACCAACAAGAACAACAATTATGTATGCACAATGAAAAGTAATAAGTATCCAAAAACTGCAAACAATGGAATCATTATATTGCGCATGGTTATGTATGAAGTTTGGCATTTGAGAATTCCAAATTATAGTTTGTTTGATATCCGCACTCCCAACTCTATGAAAGCAGAAGATAAAAGGGGCAATGGGAACAAAGTTGTGGATTTAAGAATTGAGAAGGAAGGAAGAAACTAATACAAGAAAATCAAATACATAATAAAGAAATATTTTCAAGAGCCTTAAAACATGGACTGAAAGACGAAATAGAATCGATCCAATGCTCAAGAACATAATGACCATTATTCAAGGGGCCGATGAAATAGAATCGATCCAATGCAATTGCTACCTTAAACCAAACAAGATCAAAACCATTTTGGGGCAAACATGAAAGTATAGAACTAGTGTAAATAAGATATACTAGCCAAACAATACACCACCTAGTTGCACTAAAATTTGGACACAATCTGAAGATAAAAAGTAGCAGATTACCTCGTCGAACACCAGAAGAGCACCAGCATCATCACAAGCTTTACGCAGAAACTGCAAGAACTCCTTTGAAGCACTGTATATTCCTCCTTCACCCTGGATAGGTTCGACAAAAACCGCGGCAGTTTTTCCAGGCTGAATCAATTCTTTGGTAGCTTGTATATTTCCATACTCTACGAATGTGACTCCAGGCATGACAGGCTCAAAAGGAGACCTGTAATGCTCTTTGCTAGTCAAGGCAAGAGCCCCCATGGTCCTCCCATGGAAGCTGTTAGTGAAAGATATGAAGCTTGTAGCAGGCTCTTTTGCATCAGGATTAGTGTGTCTCTGAAACTTCCTTGCAAATTTAATGGCTGCTTCGTTTGCTTCAGTTCCAGAGTTTGTGAAAAACACACGGTCTGCAAAACTAGAAGCCACCAGACGCTTTGCTAGTTCCACCTATATACACCAAACAATTTGGCAACATGAACTTATCTTTAAAATCAAAATGCAACCTTTTACATTTTCTCTACACTTTCTCGGCAACCAAACAAAGCATAATTCCAAAAACAAAAAAAAATCAAGAAGAAGGCTAAACCTGAGGGATGGAATAGTACACATTGCTGACATGAGTGAGGGTACTGGCTTGCTCCACCACAGCCTTGAGCCACTCCTCATCGCCATGGCCAAGCGCATTCACCGCAATCCCAGAGGTCAAGTCCAGATACTCTCGCCCCTCGGCATCGTACAATTTACAACCCTTGCCACTGGCCAACACCACCGGAGTTCGCGCGTAGGTCTGCACCACGACCTTGGCCTCCGTCTCTATAACCTCCTTGCTCTTCGCAAGCCCTAATTTTGACGCGGTATCTGGTACTTCCACGTCCACGCTAAGGCAAGCGGTCACCGCTCTCCGGCCGTTGATTAATTGGACCCGTCCGTGTAAGCTGGGGCTGAATCGACGGCGGAGATTGAGAGGTTGAGAAATGGGGTTGGGGGAAACGCGGAGGGAAGCCATCCTCTGTTTTCGGCTGCAAGGAAAACGTTCGAAATAGGGGTTGGCGGAGGAGGCTGCTTTTACAGGCGAGAATTGGTAGCAAAAAGGGAAGAAAATAGAGAGAGAAAGTGAAAGTATCTCATCTCTTAACCTAAAACGACAGCGTTTTAACGTGTAAGATTTTAATTTAGGAATTTTGAACAGTGTCAACTTCAGACAGAGTGATGACAAGGCTTGACAACAACTCAACGAGTCTGTTATTTGCGTATGAGGGCATGAAATGTAAAAAGTTAGCCAACTTCATTCCATTACTAAATTTGAATAAGCTTTTTATTATTATTTTTAATACATTTTTTATTAAGAGAGGGGATAGTTTACTAAACTTACACACACTATAAAAATGCTAAGACTCGAATTTAGGAACTTTCATGGGAGAGCAATTGCTCCAAATCACTACATTAGTGGGTCTTTTGAGAATAAACTTCTTTTTTAAAGTGTCGCATGAATTTTGTTTTTTTTGTTAAATCTTTGTGGTTTTTGATTGCTTTGTTGTTTCGGGAGTTTTTAATTTGAGTTTTCAAGTTTGATGCCTCTTTGGACTATATTTGAGAAAAATACATTCATCTTTTTATGAGGATATACCATGATCTTTCTTTTTCTGTACATAAATCTTTGTGGGGTTTGATTTTTTCGGTTGTTGACATCTTAGATGTGGCTTAGATGATTCCTTACATAATGAAATGAATTAGATGATATTTCAATTAGACTACACACACTAATATCAAGACATTTTGATAAAATCTTGTAAGCCGTTTGACACTATACTTCAAATATTATATTAATATAGCCGCGCGGCCATATTTTTAAAATATTCGAATATATTTAACAAGTATAATCGTGCAGCGATACTCTTATATATTTTCCTTCTTTATGTATTTGAAGTTTTAATAAAAGAAAATATGAAAAACATGTACAATAGAAACTTTTATAAGAGTTGACGCATAACTTATCGATTTAAACACTCATAAACTCCAGGTTAAACAATTTTTCCAATATAAAGTTGCCCATAAGAATCGAAAATACAAAAAATTTAAAAACATGGTGGTTCCTTTCTATAACTGTAAAGTTAAATCTAAATCAAGTTAGTTGATTGCCTAATTGAGTCATTGGTGTCCAAAAACTTCTTCTACCAAAACAAGACTTAAGTCTTTCATCAAGAGAAACACTACACTCTAGGCTCGCCTACTTAACCTGAAGAGGAGAAATTTTAGATAACGGAACATTAATCGGATGCCAAGCCCACAAATATTCCAGCAAAAACCTACTGATGAACCCTGATAGACCCCTCAAGGCCGATCTCCTTCGCCTTATCAGAACGAACACCACTTTAACTAATAAATGTAATTAAATAACGCTAAATATTATTTAATTACATAAAAGATAATAAATAAATAATTATTGACCTAAAGAAACTAATTTTATATTTATTTAAAAGAACAAATCTCTCCTGACGAAAGTTCTTTAGATTAATGTATGTATTTAAGTGATATCTTAGCCTTTTTAAATACTTTAATTACTAATTATATTTTAATTATTATCTATTTAGTAAATGAATATTTTACTAGTTTCATAAATTACTCAATAAATAGTAATTAATTATTTTAAATTATTTTGTGGACTTTGTTTTTGAATTTTTATATACAAAATTAGTTTGTTTAGTTTAATATTTGCAATTAAAACATTTAATACTAGTATATATAATTTATGAAGTTAATTAAAATATTTAATAATAATTATTCACTAAATAAATAATAATGAAAGTAATTAAAAAAAGGCTAAGGTTTTATTTAATTACAAAAAAGAAAATACAAAAACTATTTATTGACCGAAGGAACTAATGTTATATTTAAAAAAAGAAAATAACAGACGTGTGAATTTTAATAAGTTTAACTAGTATAGCCGCTATTTAAAGATTCGAATTTATTTAAAGCGTATAGCCGTTCGGCTGGACTTTCGCGGCTATACGTTTTAACGAGTAGAGCCGGTCGGCTATACGATTTTAATATTTTAATATGTTTAAGGAGTCTCGCCGCCCGGCTATACCTTTAAAATATTCGAATATATTGACAGCGTATAGCCGTGCGGCTATACCATTTAAATATTCGAATTTATTTAAGTCGTACAGCCGCCAGGCTATACTTTCCAAATATTTAATATATTTTAAGCTTATACCCATGCTGCTATACTGTTACAGATCCGAATATATTTAACGAGTATAGCCGGTCGGCTATACCGCTTTAATAATTTAATATGTTCAACGAGTATAGACGTTCGGCTATACGCTTGAAGGTTCGAAATAGTATAGCCACGGCTATACTATTTAAATATTCAAATTTATTTAAAGCGTATAGCCGGCGGGCTATACTGTCCTAATTTTTAAATATATTTAAAAAGTATAGCCGTTAAAATATTTGAATATATAACGAGTAGAGCCGATCGGCTATACGCTTCAAATAAATTTATATTTCTTTCTTTATGTATTTGAAGTTAGTCTTCGATCCTTGCGGCCTCGGTTAATCTTCTACATGCCTCATGAGTCATTGAAGTTAGTCTTCGAACTTTATGTATTTGAAGTTATTCATTCATTTCAAACGACATGCTGCTTGGAATTCGACTTTTGTAAATGTCAATCTTCGGAAGACAACGCGTGTTGTAGTTGAGGGCCAGTGTGAGGGACTTTTCAGCATCATCATACTTCCCATTCTTCTACATAACTGTTGCAGAAGAAAGCACTTTGTTTGCAAAAGAATACCCCTTTGCTACACCCTTTGAAGAACACCCTTCACAACTTGATCTTTGTTGCCAGAAGCAATGCCTGACATGTTGGTTGCCAAAGCATTGGCATGGTTGCTTAGACAACTTATGAGAATAGTTGCAGTCCCGACTTTGTCAGCCTTGTCAGCGCGCCGATTGGATTAAGGCACTCGATGCAGGATGTTGTTACCTCAGCACTGTGACATTCTGCTGGGATTAGTTTGTCTTCTGCATTTAAACGGTTGACAAGTTATTAATTAGAGCACTGACCAGTTGTCTGTTTACATTGTAATGTTTGTCTCATTAGGGTTGGTTTGAAGTGAAGATCATCTCTCAGATCAGACCTCTTTGCTGTCATTGACTCATCATGTATATGATGCATGAATTGCATGCCATGGTAGCATTTCTACACAGATTTACTCATTCTCTTTCTATGGAAACAAAATTAGTAAAGCACAATTTTATAGAACTTCAAGTTTTTTACTGCAATAGATGTGAGTCAATTTTCGTATTCCTGCTAAGAAATTGCACATCCTGACAATAGTTGCTGGAGATTGGTCATAAAGTAGATATTATTATATGGTTGAGATGCATCTCACAGACTCGCAGTGTATCTCAGCCATCCATTTCTATGCACATATACTAACTTGGGCCCAGCAAGCCCAGCCCGGTTTTTCTTCAGTAAATGTATGCAGTAGGGAGATTTAGCCCAGCCCGGTTTTTCTCGAGTAAATTTATGGAGTAGGGTGACATTAAACTTTATGCAATAGCGCAAGGCGCTTCTAGCTCAAGTGGTTAAGAACAGTTATCTTTACACCTAAATTCATGTGTTCAGATTCCCCCTCCTTATTATCGCTTGTATGAAGAAGAAGAAAAATATGATTTTGTTTGCTTGCTGAGAAATTGCAAATCCTAAAATAGTTGTTAGAGATTGGTCATCGCAACTTGTCGCAACTTGAGCTTATGCGGGGACAGTAAACTTGTGATGCAAAGGTTGGCCCAATTTCATGGTATCAAGTCCATCAACAGCCCTGCTTGATGCACTTCCAATTCACACTGGTAAAGCCTTTTGCACTCAGAGATCAAACTGAATTGGCAACTGCAGGATCACCCTTTCCCTATTTAGACTTATTACCCCATAAACACTCGTGATCAAAAGAAGATGAGTCAAATATCTACTTCTTATCACATTAAGATTAAATGCAGTCTGAAGGTTGCAATATGCCAAATCAGAAGACCTGCAATTATGGGTACCAAATCAGAAGACCTGCAATTATGGGCACCAAATCTCATAAATAATGAAGTATCTTTTCCATCTGTTCTGTTCAAAGCCCATATTATTTTTTTCTCTGTTTTGTACAGATAGACTTGTAATTCACTTGAACTTCCAAGTTTCAAATCCAATTAAGTTGTCGAGTAGGGTTATTACAGCGGTTAATCCCTCCCCCTTTCCCTTTGCTTGGCACCCAGGATCGAACCTCCAAGATTTCTTTCCTCCAAATGTAAAAAAAAATAAAATTTCGAGTTAAGTTAGATTCAAAATGCTTGGACATGTACAACTTTTTTGGGTCAACATCAAAATGCTTGGCAAAAAAAGGCACCAAAATGGTAGTAATACTAATAACAAGCTTGTGAAATACTATAAACCCACAAAAGTTGAATTGTCAATCCTTTTCTTGATTGTCCAACAATCCAACGAGTACGCTACTAGCAAAATATGATTAACTTTGGGTTTCTTTTTCCACTCGATTATGTGAACTCTGTGTCACCTTTTCTTCCAAGTCAGCAAACCTATTGAGATCCTAAGTGTCAAAGATGTCAAAGATGTCAAAGATGTAAAATCAATCCAACTTCAATAATTGGGTGAAAACTGCATCAAGTCATGAACTCATACATAAGAAAGAGGTCATATTTCTATGGAAATAAAATCAAAGCGCGCATGCCCAATTGTTTGTCTATATTCTTTAAGTCAATATAAGCAATATGAGGTCCAGAACAATCAATTGGGCATAATTTTCCAAGATCACAAAGAATGCCAACCAGAAAGTGATGAAATTGCATGCATAGTTGTATACCACACCAACCAAAATGAAACAGAGACTAATTATTTTTCTGGCTTCTTTTTTATATGGCCTACTCTTATTGGTTGGCAGCCAAATGTGGCTGTTGAGAGTGTTTGTCCCACATTGAAATGTTAAGGGACCTAGCCAGGGTTTATAAGGAGTTGGGCTACTCCCCTCATAGCCAATTGGTTTTGGGGTGGAACCTCAACTTCCTTCATGGTATCAGAGCAAGGCTTAACGTGTTGGGCCCAACGGCCACACGTACTCCCACGTCA